CCACGATTAACTTTTCTAAAACCACGTCGTAACAAAAAAAAAAAAAATTATGATTGATAAATAATCTAACTCACCCTTTTTTTGTTTTTTTTTTTTTGATTTCTAACGAGAAAGAAACAAACAAACAAACGAAAAAAAAATGTATCGAAAAAAAGGGATTAAATTGAAGTTTGTTGTTTGTTGTTTGTTGTTGTTGTTGTTGTTGTTTCATTGAATCTAGTTTTGTGCTATTATAATAAAGCAAGGTAATTGATTTTCATGGATTTTTTCATGATTCATCGACTGTTAACGTGTAATTTAACTTACGGTAAAATACATCGATTTATTTTAACGTATAAGACTTTTTTTTTCCTTGTTGTTGTTGTTGTTCGTTTGTTTGTTTGTTTGTTTGTTTGCCATTTGAAAATTTTATTTAAATTTTTTTTTTTTTTTTAACATTCTGCGGTTTAACAATTCACGTTGTCGTAATCATTTCAAATCTTAATTTATTATTATTATTTTTATTTTTGAAAAACAAATTTCGTGTTTTTTATTTTTCTACTCGGGAATTTCCACATCATTATTTATTTATTTATTTATTTATTTATTTTTACATAAATAAATATTTAATTTGTTATTAAAAATTTTTTCCCGTGGCAATCGCTTCGATTTAATTATTATTATTATCGTAGATAAATTTTAAAAAAATCCGTTAATTAAATTTAAATAAGTAACGATGGTGATTAATAACAAATAAATAAATAAATAATTAATTATTATTTTATTAAGGTTCTTCTCTCTTATTATTATTATTATGTTTTAGAAAAGAACCGTTATTTTTTTTGTTCGTCGTCTGCTTTTTTCTTTTATTTTTTTCTTATTTCTTTAAGTAATCAAAAAAAAAAAAACCTGAAAAAACCTGAAACACGAAATGCGTTTAAATTTACGAGTCAACATTTTTTTATTTTATTTTATTTTTTTTTAATCTCGATCGGAACAGCTTTTCATATTATCATTATCATTATTATTATCATTATCATTATTATCATTATCATTATCATTATTATCATTATAAATTTTTTACGTTTTTTTTCCATAATAATAAAGAAGAAAAAGTCGGAAAATAATCGAACGGTAATTAATAAATAAATTTAAAGGGAAAAGCGAATTAAAAAATTATTATTATTATTATTATTATTATTATTATTATTATTATTATTATTATTATTAATATGACGTAACAAATATATTCGATTTCGTAAAATCTGGATAATCCTGGAAATGTTTTTTTTTTTTTTTTGGATTCGTGTCAGACAAGAAATCAAATCAATTTGAAATGAAAATGATTTTTTTAATTTAAATTTTTAAAAAAATTTTTTTTCATTAATTAATCTCGTCAATCATTCCAGAACATTCTTTGGCCGTCTCTAACATTTTTTTTGGCTTTGAAATCATTATTATTATTATTATTTATAATAATTTGCATTTAAAAATAATTTTTTTGTTTTTGTCGTTTTTTTTTTTTTTTTAACACGATGGTCATTATTTTTAATTAAAACTTTTTCTTCCCATCATCATCATCATCATCATCATCATCATCATCATCATTATCATTATTGTTATTATCATTATTTCTATTTTCACGCAATTGGAAATTACGTGGCGATTTTTTTTTTTGCGCTTTTGCGACGGTTAAATTTACTTTCTCTCTCTCTTCCCTCTTCTCTCTCTCTCTCGTCTCTCTCTCTCTCTCTCTCTCTCTCTCTCGCCTCTCTCTCTCTCCTATCTCTCTCTCTTTCTCCCTCTCCCTCTCTCTCTAATAAATTTAGTTTCTTAAGCCTAGCACCACCACCACCACCATCACCATCACGACCACGTGATCGGTCATTGTATAATTTAAATGGTTCGTGATGATGAAATAAGTCAAAATGCACAAAATGACTCGACATATTTTACCATGTTTTTTTTTTTTAAATCACTGGCGCCATTTTTAAAATTATTTAATTAGCGAAAAGGGGGAAGAAAAAAACTAAACCGAATACCAAAAACAACAAACGAAACAAACTAACAAAACAAACGAAAAAAAATTTTTTCTTTTTCTTTTTTAAAACTCACGACAAAAAAATTATTATTATTTTTTTCTCCCTCTCTCCCCAGTTAATTATTAGTTTTTAAAAAAAAATTTCATTACGTTAAAAGCAACAACAACGACAACAAAGGAGTAATAATAATAATAATAGTAACATAACTAATTATAAGTTTTTAATTATAAATGTAAAAATTAAAAATCGTCGCTTGTTTGTAACAGTTCGATTACCTGAAAAATGTTTGTTGTTTGTCGTATGTGAGAGCGTGACGTTGTTTGTTACGTAAGTTAATAATTAATTAATTAATTATTAAAATAAATAAAAAAAAATCTACCGGCGAGGTCGATACGAATCGAGTTTTTCAACTTTTTTTTTTAAAAAAATTTATTAGGAGTTAAAGAAACGCGTCGCGTAACGTGTTTTATTTTTTTGTTAATTAATATTTCATTTGGGTAAATGTGACTGATATGAATGATATCTTAATCACGATATGCTCTGTTTGATAATAATAATAATCATTGCCACCGCCACCGCCATTGCCATATTTTTTGTAGTTTTTGGATACTTTTTTTTTTTGATGACCCAGGAGAAATGCAAGTTACGCACAACCCCTCCTGCTACAGAGGGAGTGTGGGGATCGGTTTGGGATCGAAAGAAAGCCTAAACGGGGACCCCTACCCACTAAAACTCCTGGGCATGTCGCTATAGCGTGACCTGTATGGAAAGGGGGGAGACGCTCGTGGGAGTATAACCTACATTTCAGTTTCCCCTCTCCGGTAGGTCAAAACGTTAGCCGTTCCACATGATTGTTTTTGGGGAGATCCGCCCTAATCTCCGTTCCGTCTCCACCTCGAAGATGAGAACGCATCTCCCGGGACGTTCGGCACCACCTTTCGGGAGTGTCCTCCAGTCCCTCGCCGTGGGGAATTGGACGGGAAACTCGCCTGTTTTCTGAGGATGCGATCGGGGCTGGAGATTGAGACTTACCATGCCACCTGAAAAGGGTAAAAAGATTAAAGTGAAGAGTTATTTGATCGCATCCTCCCTAACGGTGTGGGGAATAGAAAGGGGGACAGAAGAGAAATCGACCGGGATCGCCGACTCTCAAGAAGAAAGAAAAGAACGGGTTCGCGCCCGCCGCCGCCGCGCGTCTTCACCCTCACCTTTGCGGAGACGTTCGCGACCTGCCACGTCGCTCCCGCCTCCGCCGCAGGAGACACGAGCTTCCGGAACCGGACGACACGGACGGGTTTGCTACTCTCGGCCGGCCCGCCCGTTCCCTTCACCTGCACGCCCCTGCCGCTGCTCGGTCCGGGAGAAAGATCGAAGACATGAACCTGAAAATCAGAAACATTAATCCCCGTTCCGCCCCTCAACGACGAAGTTTGCCAGACTCCGATCGCCGTGAAGAATGCCGACGCACCGAAGCCGGGACGAATCTCCCCCGACTTTAATCGAGAAAGAGATTCGGAGCCCGACTCGGAGTACCGGGACGAATCCTTTCCTCCCTCATACCTCGGGAGACGACTCCGACCTGCCACGCCGTTTCCGCCTCCCCTGCGGGAAAAACAAACTTCCGGACCCGGACGAACCGAACGGGGCGCGACTCCCGCCCAACTCGCCGACTCCTTCCGTTTCGCGTTCACGCCGCCATCCGTGTTGGAAAATCCCGAAGATTTGCTTCTAAAATGAGATAGCGTTAATCCCCGTTTCCTCCCCGACGACTTCACGACGACCGAAAGTTTGCCAGACCCCGGGCCGCCGCGAAGAACGCCAACGCACCGAAGCCGGGACGAATCTCCCCCCGACGTAATCCAGAAAGAGACCCGGAGCCCGACTTGGAGTACCGAGACGAATCCTTTCCTCCCTCGTGCCTCGGGAGACGGTACCGACCTGCCACGTCGTTCCCGCCTTTCCGCAGAGACGAAGTGAGCTTCCGGAGGCGGTAAGAAGTTCCGAGGTTGCCGGGCCGACGAAACATCCCCCGCAGTCCGTTCGCGTTTCGCCCCTGCCGCCGTCCAATTGACTCTTGCAGTCCGAAGAGCGAGAATCCGACCGGTGCGGACTCCAACGTCGTCGTCATCGTCACGGGTGGCGAACCACCCCCCGAGAACGACGAGTTTCCGGAGACGAGTCGGTCCCCCGCGAGAAGAGTGTCCCGTTCATCCCCCGCAAGAAGATCTCCTCGTTGTCCATCCGCTCGCATCCCTGTTTTCCCGGAGCAGGATGATGAACCCTGAAAGAAAAGTGCCGAGTCCCACACTCTTTTTCTCCCCGGAAGGTTGGTAAGGTACAGGTCTGACTCTTCGTCTGTGATCGGGGAAAACGGCTCTCAACTGCCGCGCATCGGCTGGCGGAAACACTTGGTCAGGGTGTCCCGTCGACCGTTTTTTAAAATGCGCATCAACCAGGATCCGAATTACACGATCAGAGTCATCCGCTGCACCCGGCCTCCAAGTAGCTCCACGCCACTAACTCCCGGTCCCCTAGTTTTTGGATACTTTCGATTACTTTTTTTTTTTTTTTAAATGATGGTTCTTTCTAAATGTTAAGTTAAACAAAACATTTCTTCTCACATTTATTTTGGAAATTTTTTGGGATAAAAGGAAAAAAAATTTTGAGAGGAAAAACAGTAACAGGTTAAATATATGAAGTGATGATGAAAAAGAAGCTGTTTGAACAAATCTCTTACCCACCCTTTTTAATTATCTTTACAAAAAAAATTTTTTTTTTTTTTTTTTTTTTTATCTATTTACACATTCGAATCTTGTTAACATTTCTGACGCCATATATATATAAATCGTGAAAGAGAATAGATTAGGGTAGGGAGAAAGGGAGAGAGAAAGAGAGAGAGAGAGAGAGATGGGGGGAGAGGAGGAAACAAGATATTTCATTGAATTAACGTTTTATGTTTGTTTTTTTTTTTCATTTCAGGTGGGTGGTTTTAACCGTGGCTTGGTTTCTCTCAGGAACAAAGAGATGGGCTCACGAAAGAATACAACAACATTCATCATTATTTCATCTTGCCGGATGGGGATTGCCAGCAGTACAAACGATAGCCGTTTTGGTACTTCGAGACGTGGATGCTGACGAATTAACCGGAACGTGCTACGTCGGTAACCAAAGAACTCGTTCGTTGCTAGTCTTCGTATTGGTACCACAGTTCCTGTATTTAATTTTGGGAGCGTCTCTTCTCGCGTGCGGATTACTCGCACTGTCGAGAAGAAAACCAACAATCGTCAGAAGAGACATAAAAAGCAATATAATAGCTGATAAAAATGAAGCCGTCATACTCAGATTGGGAGTTTTCGGTGTTTTGTACACGATACCCGCCGTGTGCGTCGTGGCTAGTTTGATATACGAATATTATTTTAGAGACGATTGGTTGTTGTCGACGGAAAGAACGAGGCCTCAACCTAAACCTAGCATTTGGATTTTCCTACTTCGGATATTCATGTCCCTCGTCGTCGGCGTCACGTCAATTATTTGGGTTTGGTCGCCGAAAGTTATGAGAGCGTGGAAAAGACTGTTTAGGAGATTGGGTTCCACGGGACAATACAAACAAGCTCCCGTTAAATGTCAACCGACTCTTCATTATTATCCTCCCGCACCGCCCCCTCCGGCTCAAAGACTTTACAAGCACAAACATAATCATTCATACCGGAAACAGCAAAGGATGTTACACGGAAACGAAACGTTAACCGCCGTATGAAACGTTTTTCACAAAAAAAAAAAAAAAAAATGGAAGGAATACGAAAAAAAACGTTTTCCCCCTCCCCCTTCCCCCATAAAAGTTTCCATTAATTTGGGTGAGGGGAAGGAAACAACTTGGGAAATCGTTTGAATGATGATGTGATGATGTTTGTTTGTAACTCATAAAATTACACGTGAACGATGATCATTTGTTCGAGTAATAATAATGATAATAACAATAAAAAAAATCGTTCACGACGGTTAAAATGTAAAAAAAAAAAAAAAAAAAACCCGCGGATTTAGAAACGTTTAAATTAAAAATGGCGGATTTTTCTATATTCGGTTGTTGTCGAAGCGGCAACAGCGCCAAAAGTAATAAATTATAATAAATATTTATTTATTTATGAGTACATAAATTTATATTAAAAAAAAAAAAAAACATATGTTTATAATACCAGTGGTATATACTATTGTAAATAAATTAAAACATCCTATTCATTTGATATCAATTGATAAGTTGTAATAATAATAATAATAATAATAATAATAATGTTAAAATAATATCAATAAATAATATTAAATAAATTAAAAATTGTCTATTTATTTATTTCACCTCCGAACCTTTTAATAATTATCATTTTCTAATGCAAAACATTTAAAAATTTCAAAATTTTACAAAAAGAGAAAAAAATTTTTTTTTCATGAAAAATTCGAGACCTCCTAAATATTATCATTTTCTGATACAAATTTTTAAAAATTTCAAAATTTTTACGGGGAAAAAAATTTTTTTTTCTTGTACATATATATAGTACATATACGTACATTAATTTTACTTATATGTTTTATTATTATTATTTCTTTCTTTTCTTAAGGAAATTGGATTGATTGATTGATTGACGGATTGATTGATTAATTAATAAACTTTTTTATTATACTTTTGAAAATAAATATATTTAAAGATTTAACATTTTTTTATAATTATTTAATTAATTTTTTTTTTCTTTTTATTTATTTATTTATTTTATTTATGAATTGTATCTGGATTGCAATTGTTCCAGTTTTAACTGTAAAGCGTTTCTTTCTTCTTGAACTTGTAACAATTCTTGACTGAGTTCGTAACACATTCTCGTTAACACGCTGTTGTGTTCTTCGAGTCTTTTTGCATCTCCCAATTTTTTCGAAACTGTCGTCCCCGGTGGACTACTTTCGCATTCTGTAAATAATAATAATAATAATATTAATTAATGATGATGATAACATGGTTTTTTTTTTTTTCCTTTTATTGGGTTGGCAAAAAGGTAATTAGGAATTTTTTAAGAAAACAAAAAGCCATTTATTAATTATACAAAATTATTTTTATCTATTATATTATGTCCGTTATTATTGGTGACCTTTTGACATTTTTCGGGTAGTATCATTTTCCCATGTTTCATAAAACTCTTTAGTTTTAGGAGCAAAAAACTGGTCCAATGCAGTACGATTGACCTCATTGTCGTTTTGGAATTTTTGTCTGTTTAAAAAATTTTTTAGGGATCAGAAAAAATGATAATTATTTGGAGCTAGTTTCGGACTATATAGAGGGTGCAGCAAAACATCCCAGCCTAGCTCCAGTAGTTTTTGTCCAGTGGCTAAAGATGGGGAGGGCCTGGCATTATGGTAATGAAAGACAATTCCTTTGCTATTGGCTAGTTCCGGTCGTTTTTCTTGGATGGTATCATTTAAATTTGTCAATTGTCGAATGTAAACCTCTGAATTTATGGTCTGACTTCCTAGCAGCAGCTCAAAGTTGACTATGCCTTTGTAATCCCACCAAAATGATAACAATACCTTTTTTTGGTGAATGTCAGCCTTAGAAGTTGTTGGTGCCTGTTTCCTTGCCTAGACCAGAATCTTTTTCTCAAAAAGTCATCATAAACAACCTACTTTTCATCTTCGGTGACCAATCTTTCAAAAAAGGGTCATTCGCATTGCGTTTAACAAGCATATCCCAAAGACCAAGTTGTCTTACGCTCCCCAAAGTAACGCATCAAGCTTTTTTTGGCACCCAAGACGCCGCAGACGGTTTTTGACGCACGTATGTGACACATCTAGCTTCTTTACAATGTCCTTAGTCGAACCATGCCGATCATAATCAATGAGGGCCTTTATTTGCTCATCTTTAACCTCCAATTGGCGCCCGGAGCACTCCTCATTTTGCAAAGAAAAATCTCCAGAACGGAATTTCGCAAACCAGTTTTGACACTGCCCTTCTATTAAGGCTTCATCCCCCTACACAGCCCACAACTTTTTATGAACTTGTGAAGCATTGACACCCTTTCAAAAATAAAAAAGGAAAATGTGGAGGAAATGCTCGTTCGCTTTGGCTCCCCATGTTTGAATGTCTTTTGCTCGCGCACTATTTAAGATTTGAATGAAATTTTGGTACCAAATGTTACAGAAAGAACCAAGTAATAACATATCAAAAGTTCATGTCTGTACAAAAACGTAAACGTACTCAAAAAAATGGACAAACTATCCGTTGGTGGAAAATCCGCAGTTACTTATTGGCCAACCCAATAATTGTTTAACTACTTACTCGTCTGTTTTCTGTAAATTTGAAAAGCACCGTGCATTCTTGGTAACTCTTCGGCGTTATGTAATTCTTCGTCGTCTACTTCCTTGTCTCCGCTCCCGGAAAACTTTGAAAAATCCGCAAATGGTATATTTTGTTCAATCAATGTGATCACGTCGTCTTCGCTACGTTGATCTATTAATTTTTTTGGCGATGTCTGCAAATAATTTTTTTGTTTTTTTTTGGTTTTCAAACAAACAAACATTCGATGACGAATTGCGTACGTACACGCATAAAAAAAAAAAACTTACGGATGATGGAGACGTTCTGGGGGGAACTGCTGGAGGAGCATTTAATATAATCGATTTTCCAAGTTTATTTAAATCTAGTGATGAACTTCTAGTGTGCGTTCTATAAGGACGTGGCGGAGGTGGAGGAGGCGGTTCTTTTTTAGGACCTCCGTGATTATTTATACACATTGGCAAACTGGTGGGTCCTGAAAAATAATACAATTTTAATTCATATTTTTATTTATTTATTTTAACGCTCATGCTTCACAAAAAAAAATATATAAATAAACTCAAAATTTATACATTATCATTACTTACCCGAATGTCCGTCTTCTATTTGCTGCTGAGGCGGTGGAGGAATGGCTCCAGGTCCCGGAGCTGCTGGTTTTCTAGGTTGCGGCCTTTGGATGGGTCTAATCTCAGAATTATCTTGTGACACGTTACTTCCAGAATTTTTTTTCGTACCGTAAAAATTACAATCGTTAACAACCGTATTCTCATATTCCAACCTCCTGAAATCAATTTGATACATTTTAAAAAAGTAATCGCAAATCTTAGGTAGAATTTTTTAACATTTCATACCTGGGAGATTTGCAACAATCGTTTTCACCGCCGATAAAGTTCGCAGCAGCTTCGGGGGTAACTCGAACAGGCACTGGATGAAATATTTTAGGATCTTGCTCGACGGCCGACTTGTGAAAATCAAAATTTACTGGTTTTGGTCCGGGAGATGATATTGAACTCGTGGGAGAGTCGACAAACTTTGTCCACTGCGCAACAAAAACATTTATATCCTTAAAAAATTTAAATACAACCAAAAAGAAAATTAAAAATAAGTCGAATTAAATCAAACCTGTTTGTTTCCATGAGATTCCGATGATACTGAAGATTGACCAGGTGAATTTTCTTCACGAGGAGGAGGTTGAGGAGGTTGAACAACAATCGAAGAAGAATTGGCAGGAATCAATGAAGGGGGGAGTGTATTGGGAAGTGGAATATTGTTTCGTCTTAAAACTACCAAATGCATAGCAACATTAAATTCTTCTAATGTTAATGCTCCATCTTTAGTAACATCCGATAACTGCCTGGTAATTTATAAACATTTAAAAAAAAATTATAAACCTTTTGCAATTTTTTTTTTTAAATATCATCGAGAAGAAAATAAAGATTTACTCTTTACCATATTTTTCTAAGTTCGTGAACTGGAAGTCTGGACTTTTCAAAAAATAATCTGGCAGTAGACCCTGCTAACAGTCCAGAGGGATCAGGTTGTAAAGAACGAAATTGTGCTGTATAATACTCTTTTTGCTCATTGGTTATTGTCCAAAGTTCTTTGTCTGCTTCATCGTCACTACTATGTTTATCAGAAGATTCTTCTTCCGTTCCCAATAATTGTCTTTGCTCTTCTGAAACTTAAAAATTATTAAATAATAAATTAACAGGATACATTCGAAAATAAAAAATATTTCTTAGAATGATATACAATTTTTAAGTTCATAAGAAAAAAAAAAAAGAAAAAGAAATTTACCTATACCCAACCATGTTTCTGATGTAGCCCAACTTTTTTCTTGAACACTATTGGTCGGAGTAGGAGAATCACTAGCAGTACTTGATGCTTCGACAGAAAGTCTTCTGGCATGAGGAGATTTGTTGTTTTTATTATTTTCTTCATCTAATTCTCCCTCTTCCTCACTACTATTTAGTCTCTCATTGCTAATATATTTTATTGCATTTGAATCAGCTAACTGAATTAAATCAGGACTATCAGGATTTGACTTATTCGTTTTAATATCATAATTTGACCACAAAAATTTTGGCAAAGGTAAATCATCTATGGCGTTAAACAAATCGGGATGATGAAGAGAAATGCCAGCTTGAGAAGCTGCTATTAATTTTAATGCGGTGTAAAATTGCTTACGACCAAAATAACCAGGTTTTCCACCAGAACAAATTTCAGTGATCTGAAAAAATACAAGTACAATATAAAGCAAAAAAATATTATAATAATTATAAAACTTAAACATAAACTTTTTAAAAATTATTAATGTGAAAAGTAATGATATCAATGTCAAAATTGTAAAAGCAAAGTAATTTTAAAAAAAACTTTAATTTAAATAATTAACTGTAATTATTTGTCAAATTTCCTAATTAATATTATATTAAGGAGAATAGTCGACTACCTCTTTTATTACATCCGATGGCACCTTTGAAGTAAGAAATAATTCTGTTGCTTTAAATAAAGGTACCTTCCCAGTATTTTCTGTATCGCAGCACAACAGAAACAGGTCTCCAAAATATCTCTGTTCTGTTTCGGTAAAGCGTAACTCTTCCATTTAAAAAAAAACATAAACATAAGTATTAATAATATTTTTATAAAATTTTAAATTTCATTTTAAATATCTTCATTTATTATATAATAAAATTTAAAAAACTATAATAATAATAATTCAACTAGTAACAATATAATCTGACGGCAACTTCCATAATTTCTATATCTAACACGATGTATGAAACCACCGCCTTTTTGAAATTTTAAATTTCTTCGACGCTCATTGATAAATGTTCATTAAATTCAAAAAATTTTTGGCGGCACTTTCTCTCGACTCTTACTTTAATATGATTTATTATTTTCATTAATAATTATAATAGAAATAAAATTTCTAAGTAACAACCTTTTTATAATTTGTAAAAATTGATTTATTAACTTTTTACCTTATTTATTTATTTTTCTTAATTCGAATGAAAATTTTATGAAAAGGAAATTTTTTAATTGATGAAATCAAAAAAAACTGAATAGCAACGTTTATTTGTACTATTGTTTTTTTTTTTTGAGTTTCTCATACTGTTGAAATAAATATTTTGGTATTTTTTTAGAAGAATTTAATTTCATTATAACTTTGTGCCTTGCAGAAGTTTTCCCTTCATATTTTGACAATAACTCGACTAAAAATTTCTGTTCGAAATAATTTTTTCTAAACATAGAAGTTTCAAAAACTGACTTTAAAATTGTATTCGTTTTAATAAAATACTCGATAACATTTTCTACATCGAAAACTGCAGCACTTTTGTCTGTGACATTATCACAAAATCCTAATTCAGTTGATACATTTAAATTATTTAAATGAGACTCAACTGTTGACAAATACTCTAAAAGTATTTCTTTACAATCACTCGGTACCCATGGCACTCTATTCAAATGAACTTTTGAATAATTAACAGAATCATTCGGCAATAAATCATTTAAAAAATTGAAAAAAAAAATACATTTTTCATTAGAATCTATAGGACTTGATGATTCGTTAGAAAATGATGATTTAAACCATTGAGAATAACTAGAGAAATAATTTTTAGGTTTTTCAAAACAACACTGCCTACTTATTAAAAAAGCAAATGAAAGCAACTTATTATCCATTATTTTAAACGATTCATAAATAAGAAAGTTGCAAATTGTTTTAATTTCCCTCCATCCTTCTTTACATGATGTTCCCAGACATGTAATTAAAGGAAGAACATTGTTCCAGTTAATTATCGAAGGATTTTTTATTAGAAAATATTTTAATTGGATAAATATGTTATCAATTTCAACATTTGAAATTATCGCTGAAAATATTTCATTGATTTCATCATTTTTAAATTTTGATTTTCTAAACTCTTGCACCTCGAAAACATTTTTCATTACTTGAGGTGAGCCCAACAATATTTGTTCTAAAACATTTTGAAGAAACAAATTAATTTGATCAGAATTTAATTCGGCTTCTTTTAAAATCTCCATCAAATAGACAAAATTTAAGTTATTGTTTGTAAATATATGATCTTCCAATATCATATTATATTGTATTTTAAGATTTGAAATGATTAATTGTGTAATCGAATTGTAAAAAGAATATTTCCATTCTTTTTCATCATCCTTTACATTTTTCGAATGAAAGAATATTGAATGAATATAATCCATAATTAATTTTTTTTTAAGAACTGATTGATTCGATTGAGAAATAATTATTGAAGACAATAATTTTGAACAAATATGTTGAATAACTTCATCATCCTTTTCTTTTTCTTGATGTTTAAGAAAATCATGAATTGAAATTATACCGTAAATTTCCAAATACCATATAGTTTCCAAATGAAGTATTTCCAATTGATTACCCGCTAATACATCTATTTTAAAACTTTCTTTATCACATTTATTTTCTCCTATAAGTCTTTTAACCTGCGCCAAAAAATTTGTAACTTTAAAATTTGATTTCGCTCTCTTGAAATTAAGTGAAGTACTTATTGTTTTGCTGGGTGGTAAAAAATTTTTACACAAAACTTTAAAATAACAAGCTAATATTTTACTATTAATAAATTGTTCACTAAAATTCGTATTCATAATTTTATTAAAATGTATATAAAATTTTCGTGTCAGAAGAATTTAAGATTTTTTTTATACATAATAAGTTGAGGTTAGTTTTGTAAACTAATTTCAAATATATATTAACGAAACTTTTTTTTTAAAATTTTGACGTCAATAATAAATTGAATTTTTTATTAGTTTAATATTTTTTGATTATGTAAAATAATTTATATTTTCTTAATTGTATAACCATAATTGATAATACAGTTTTTTTCTACTTGTTTATAAGTTTATCAGTAATGACAGGTCTGTACAAAGAAAATTTGTTTTGTAAATATACTTTTATGTAATAAAATATATTATTTTTAAATAAATTACACTGTATATTGTTTACAATTAACTTATTACACATGTAAAATTTAATATAAGTTATAAAAAAATATTTAGTTTAAATTTTAATTATTTCAGTTTAAGTCATAAAAATTTTTTTTTATGGCTTACACTCCTCGTGAAACGGTTCTAGAGTTCTAAAATCTCTCCAAGTTGGTGGTAAAGCATTATGCAAATGATTACCACATCTTTTACAAGGCTCACTAAATAAAGTATTAAAACTATGAAACCATGTCTAAAATGAAATAAAAATAAAGTTTTAGGAAATTTGATAATGTCAATAGTTATAAATAAATAATGTTAACTTTATTAAAATTTACCATAAACGATCTAACTGCTAGTTCAGGTAATGTTGGTGAATAAAAGTGTAACATTGCCGCATGTGAATTTTCTGTAACTTTTCGAAATACTTTATGCCTTGATTCAGTCCACAAATCCATTGATTCCATATAACCTCTAACCACAACCCATTCAATCATTAATCCTTTAAAAGCAACGACAGCTTTTAAAACTCTACTTAATGTAATTTGCAAAACAGCATGCGTTCCAAAAGGGCGTGATACATTAACAGTCATATCGCTGAAGAGTCTATCTATTGTAGCAACCACACTCTCTACAGTTCTAGAAAGAAACAAATAGTTTCATTTTATGTGGCCTAATAAGTTTGTTTAAAAAAAAAAATAAAAAAAGTAACATTACTGTGGAGGTACATTATGACTACTCGTCTGAGTTCTTCTTCTTTTATTACTGCTGGAAATATATGAACGTTTAAGAGAATTTTGGCTTAATAAAGATACAGCTCTTGTACTGTATTCCCTAATTTTATCCGTCCATTTGTAACTTAAAACTAATTGACCATATAAGGCTTGCCTTTCCTGAGTACATTCTTGATTTAGGTAAGCCGAATTACCTAAACTAAAAAACCCAGGAGGAGGCGGTGTAAGACTTGCAACTGTTGTTTCTACATCTCTTACGTTTGAATTTACCGTATTTAATAAATCTTGTAATTCTAATAAAAATTTTGTTTCTTTGCCTTCTTCTCCATGGTCTGCTCTTAATCCATTACCTAATGTTTCAAATATTTGACCTACATTAGATCTAAGAACTTTGATAGCGTTTAACGCAGCTCCAATAGGATCCACTCGATTTTCTATAAACGCCATTGAAACTTAGTTTGAAATTTCGTGGAATTAGAATTTACAAGTTTATATTACCAACTTAAATAAAACCGTTAACTTTAAAAATTATATTTATTTTATATGACAGTTTTTAAAATTAAATAGTTGTAAGAAAATTCATTATTAATCTAACAATAATGCACAAAAAAATTTCAATCAATCATAACAAACAAACTTGTTTAAAATACAATGATAACTTTTGTTTTTTTTTTTTTTTTTTTTTTCAAAAATTTATTTTGTTCGACGACAATATAGTCTTTTAAATTTTATATTACAAACCAGTCTTTTAATATACTATGAATTCATTTTTTGCCTTTTACTACTTATCAAATATTCACTTTCAATTTCATCCAAGTCTATATTTTCAAATATATCATCATCTTTCATTTCATTTACAATATCATTATTTTCTTCAATCTTTTCTTCTATACTATTCGCAAACATAGAAGTAATGGTGAGCTGATTTTTATTTTCAAGTTTTTCAGTATCAGTATTTTTAAAGTCGTCTTTGCTTAAACCAACTTTGTTAAGAATATTTAATTTTAATTGAACCAAAGACCACAAATGATCATCTGCTGTACCTTTGGCAATTAAGTATTCTACTAAAACACTATCTCTTTGACCGATTCTATGAGCTCTATCTTCTGCTTGAATTAGTTCCTGAAAAATATAAAAATTTTAAGATACTTACAAGGAGTCTTAGACAAAAATTAAAAAAAAAAAAAAAATTGATGATATACTCACACCAGGATTCCAATATAACTCTGCAAATATGACTAATTGAGCTTCTGTAAGTGTTAATCCTGTATTGGCAGCTTTTAAACTAAGTACAGCTACCTTACAATTTGGATTACTTTGAAATTCTTGACATTTTATTTGCCTATTTTCACTACTCACTGTTCCATCTATTCTTATGTAATCAACTTTTTTATTATTCAATAAATCACAAATTCCATCCAAAACATTCGAGTGATGAGCAAAAACCAAAAATTTATTACTATTTTCTAATTTATCTCCGATATATTCGCAAACAGCTGATAATTTAGCATTTCCAGTAATGGAATAATATGAAATTAATGTACTTTGTTTTTCCACGCCTTTTTGACTTTCAAACTGTGACTCCATTTGTCTCATTTTTTTTGAAACAGATTTCACCATGTTAGGATTTAATATTACAATTTTTCTTATTTTCGAAGGTAATTGAGCCAACACTTCAGATTTCAGTCTTCTCACCATAATTCTTTTTTTTAAAAAAATTTCTAATTCTTCTAAATTTGAAGAGCCTGTGAAATTCCATCCAAATTTATCTTTTTTCCCATTGCAATAACGAATGCCAAAATCGTAGAAATTTGGAAATATAAGAGGATCTATGGCGGATATTTGAGAATACAATTCTAGAGGCCTTGACAAAGCTGGAGTTCCGCTAAGTAAAATAACTCGACTGATATTTTTGCAAAGTTGAAGAGCTACTTGAGTTCTGGCACTTTTATTATTTTTTAATGCATGAGATTCATCCTGTAACATGATAAAATAAAAAATTCATTTTAATAAAAGTATTAATAAGTTAATTTATTATTATTATTAACTTACAAAAATAACGACTCCAAATTTTTTTTTCCTTATATTTTCATAACAAATTTTCATTATATCATATGATGTAATGATAATATCTTCATTATATATTGAATCCTTGCCAGAAATTAAAACTGAAATTGTCGGATTGATATTTGGCATAAATGTTTTAATAGCTTCTTGCCAAGGAAATCTCATCGATGATGGACAAATTATTAACAAAGGCCAATTATTCTTAAAGTAACATGCAATTCCTAAACTCTGTATAGTTTTACCAAGACCCATATCATCAGCTATCAAGCATCTTCCATTTTTCTTAATTCCAAATCTGGAAATGTAATGTAATGTACATATGTTTTAATAATCGAGAAACTTTTACAAAAAAAAAAGATAAATTTTACCTGACACCTTCCACTTGAAAAGGCATAAGACTATCTCTTAAATTTTTATCAATTCTTGACCAATCAACTTCTTCAGGTTCATCGGGTGCACAAAGAGTTTTAAAAACATTATCTGGAATGGCATTAACTATAACTTCAGGTTTTAAATTTCTTAATTTTGATGTCAAATTTGAATGTTCAGAAAGTGGAAATGTCCATTTTTTTAATACTGAATCTGTAAACGAAAATATCAGCATAAATGAAAAGGGTCAAAGGTTATTTTTTAACTGAAAATAAATAAATTTTTGTCAATCAACAAGTACCATACAATTTTCCTGGAATAGTTTTAAAAACTTCAATGCTAGGTGCATGATAATTCATATCAGCAATAAATCTATCTTCATTTATAGCCGAAAAAGTTACGTTTACATACGGCGTTTCTTGTTTTTCGACATTTTTTTTAAAGAAATTATTTGTGATTTTATTTTTATTAATATTTTCGTTAATTTTGTTCGAGGATGAAGTAAGGTTAGAAGTCAGTATTGAATTTGTTTTTTGATTAAATTGTTTTTTTTTCAATAAAGCCGCTGCTCTATTTTCTTCTATTTTTTTCCGTTGATCTGCACTTAAATTCATTTTATTTACAAATAATTATACATTTTAACACAAAACGACATTTAAAAAAGTAAATTAGGCGAAGAAAAAAAATTAATTTCACCCAAATTTCAAATTTTTACCGCGTAAACTTTAGTAGTCTGCTTTACTTGCTTTAGCAAGTTACTAACTTAGTAATATGATCCCAATATTTGAAATGTTGCCCGATTTTAAAAAATTTCAAATTTTTATTTATAAATCAATTTACTTTAATGCTAATAAATAAATGTAAATTGAATATTGGAAACATTTAAAATTGAACTTATGATTTCATGTCTTTCAATTAAAACTTCAAAATCTAAAAAGGAAAAAGAAAAAAAGTTATAATACATTAATTCTCTATGTATTTTTTTTTTTTTTTTTTTTTTTTAACAATTTCACATTATTAGTTTTGGGATACAGTTTTTAAAAAAAACTTTTTTTTTTTTTCCAAAAATATATATAATTAGCTTTGCATCATTCGAAACTTACGAATGCGTTATTTGATATTCATTTATTTGAAAGCAAAAGAATATTTTTTTATATGGAACGTTTTAAATAATTTTCTTAGAGAGTTAACAACGTGGTTTTAGAAAAGTTGACCGTGCTTTTGTTGAAGAAGGATTTATATTTTTATAATATAATTACTTACGTTTAGCTAAGGGAAAAAGTAAAATTTTCGTAAATATTGTAGTTCTTAGAACTCAAACAAGGTTTCACCACTAGTCTCTAAGTTCCAACCGTAAGTTAATAAAGGGCGACATATATCTCGGCCCAAATTTTTTTTTATCGGCCAAAAATCAAAATGGAAGAACTTGCTGTGGAAGTTTTCGGCGAAAATGGAGCATGTTACAAGGTAATTTTATTCTCAAGTACAGAGTTTTTAGTATTGTAATTTAAGTGAAACGTAAATTAAGTTATTCCTCGGGTTTTTATTGATTTCAAGTTGATTTACATCGGCATTTCGGTAATATATATTCATTTTGTGTTCCCCATGATTCAACGCGGCTATGGACGCCATGTCTTTTGACAGGGCGTGATTTTTCCCCATGTGCCTTTAATAGTTGCCTTTTACACATTAATATTTATAAATATAAGCTCATCTTGAGTGAAAGTGTTCACGGATTAGTGCTCGACCTTCGACAATTTTTATTGTGCGGATTTAAAATTTACTTTATGGATGCCTTATAATACCTGGCATATTAACTACTAAGAAATTTTATTTTTTCATGAATGAAAAGTTTTTTTTCTTAAAACCATCAGGATTAGTCATGTATATTTAACTTGCAATTAATTTAGAATAATGCAAAATATTTCCAGTGCGTTTATTTCTGAATTTTAAGTTATAGTTATTTCTTTTTTTTTTTTTTTTACTTATGATTTACCATTTATGAAAGTAATATATCATTTCTTAATGAACAAATCATAAAATTGTTAAATATACTACTGCTACTACTACAAAAATAATGCATGTATAATTTGCTTTCCTGCTTTTTATTTTTGTAATTGTAATTTTACTTCTCTGATTATTTTTTTAACCTTTATTTCATACAAAAAATTTTCATGTTAAAAACTTGATTTAAACAAAATATTTAAATTTTATATTTACTTGATTTATAAAAATATGAAAATTTAAATACCTTGAAATTATAATTAGAATTAAGTTTTATATGTATATATATATATGTATGTGTTTGTGTGTGTGTGGTCGGGCATAAATAATGTATTATTAAATATGAATAGTTTTCTTAAATAATTTTCTTTTTTAGGCCTATGTCACTGATGTATTTGATAATGAAGTTTCAGTTGCCTTTGAAAATGAGTAAGTTAAACTTTTTTTTTTAGCAAATTTAATTTTAATCAGTATTGCATCATTTTTTTTCTTTTTTCTTTGCATTATCGTGATCCTTAAATATTTTCAGCTGGCAGCCAGAATCAAAGTTTCCTTTTTCCCAAGTTAGACTTCCACCAGCACCAGTCATTGGAAAGGTGGAATTTGTTGAAGATCAGAAAGTAGAAGTGTACTCGAGGGCGAATGAAGCTGAGGCTTGCGGTTGGTGGACTGCCACTATTAAAATGAGCAAGGGGGAAATATATGTAGTCGAATATAAGGATGGAGAAAGCACTTATACCGAAATTGTGGCAATCGAACGCCTTAGACCAAAAAATCTTAACTCCACAATAGATAAAAATACATTTTACAAATTTGAGATAGAGGTCCCAGAAGAATTAAGAGAATAGTATGTTGCTTTACTTGATTTTTTTTGTTTGCAATAATCGCTTCTTAATAAACAACTGATTCGATTATATTTTTCAACAGTGCAAAAATGGATAATGCACATAAGGAATTGCAAAAAGTGATTGGAGCTAGTATTTGCCGATACGTGCCAGAAAGAGGAGTTCTCAGTGTAATATCTCGGAGTGAAAATTCAAAAAAATTAGCCGGTATGCTTCAAGAAATGCACTTTAGGAATTTGGGTCAAAAACTTCTTCTTTTAAAACGAACGGAAGAGGCAGCTCGTCAACTAGAAACTACTAAATTGCATACCATCGGAGGGTAATGATGATGATGATGATTTACACACTCTTGCAAATGCGTTCCCTTTTTTCAAGGATTTTTATTTACTTACCACTTATTTTTTTAGCTACACTGATGAATTTTCCGTTCGTGAAGATTTAATGGGCCTTGCTATTGGTGCACACGGTACAAATATTCAACAAGCTCGTAAAGTAGATGGAATAACAAATATTGAATTAGAAGAAAATTCTTGTACCTTTAAAATATATGGTGAAGTAAGTAATGAGACGCAGAGTTGATGGATTATTTCTTGCGAAAATTTAAATTTGCTTATTTGTATTTATTTTACTTTTACTTTTTTAATTTTACTTTAGACAAATGATGCGGTTAAGAAAGCAAGAGGTATGTTGGAGTACAGTGAAGAATCAATTAAAGTACCGAGAGTACTAGTCGGTAAAGTTATTGGTAAAAATGGCCGTATAATACAAGAAATAGTGGATAAAAGTGGCGTTGTAAGTAATTTTTTCAACGGGGATATACCGAAGGATAAAGGATTTATTGTAAGTCCTAAAATAAAATAATGATATGTTATCAGGTACGTGTAAAAATAGAAGGTGATAATGAACCACAACCAACTATTCCTCGCGAGGAAGGGCAAGTTCCTTTTGTTTTTGTCGGAACCGTTGAGAGCATATCAAACGCGAAAGTTTTGTTGGAATACCATCTGGCTCATTTAAGAGATGTCGAAGCTTTGCGTCAGGAAAAACAGGATATCGATCAACAGTTGAGAAGCATTCACGGCACCAACATGGGTTCGGTACAGAACTTTCCAATACAAAGACGCAACGATAGGTACGAAATTTATAAATTTTCAAATTGGGTCGATTTAGGTTTTGTTTTGTTTTGAGGAAAACTGAAATATATTATAAAAAACTTTTAATTTCAGAGGTTACAATTCGGATATGGATTCGGGAAGCGGTCGAGGAAGAGGAGGACAAATGAGGGGTCGTGGGCCTAGCCGAGGTCGAGGGGGACCAGGGGGGCGACATTCAGGAGAATCTCGCTTTAATTCCGGTAATCCATCTAACGTCCCTGATTATTTCAATAACGTTGACAATAAAAAAGGACCCCAATCCGGTCGGGGTAGAGGAGGGTCAAATAATGGGAGAACGGGGAGGGGGAGCGGACGAGGAAAGGGGGGCGGAGGGTCAGATTTAAAGTGATGAAATCTTTTCAAAGAGTTCCTCACAATTTTACTACATGATTATCAAATGTGTGTCTTTAAGTGCAATCGTTCTACGATCTTTAGTTCAATTCTTTTTTCAATTTATAAAAAAAACAAAAAAAAAACAAAAACAAAAACAAACAAAAAAAAAAGACAAAATAAATAAAACAAAAAAAAAAAAAAGAAAAAAAAAAAAAAAAAAAAGAAGCGTTGTCTTCCAATATTTTGCCAGGGGTTTTTTTAAACCCCCCCACTAGAAATTACTCGGGTTCTAGTCATTATTACCCATAATTAAACTTCGTGATTATGTTGCTGTTGTTGTTGTTGTTGTTGTTGCTGTTGTTCTTTTTTTTGATAGCGCAAAATGTTTCTGATGAGACGACTGTAGAATGATTGATATGAGTGAATGAAGAAACCTAAAATTGTAACATTAGGAGAATTATTGTTTGTTTGTTTGTTTGTGACGAATTATTATTGTTCTTTTTTTTTTTTTTTTTTTTTTCTTATTACTTTGTATCGAATAGATATAATTCAGTTTAAATTTAAAAACGAAATGAAAATTTTTTAGATATAATTAATAAGTAGTTTTAAGAATTCATCCTCTATAAATGACTCTTGTTTTACATTGGAATAAATTTGTTTATAAATAATAATGTTAAAAGCGGAAGGGAAAGGCAAAAAAAAAAGAGTACAAGGCATACATAAAATTTATGAGGTGCACATGAAAATAATATTTAAAAAAAAACGACGCCATATTTATTTAAGACTTTTAAAAGATTTTTGATTTTAAAAGGGGTAATTGAACGATTCGACACATCAACGTTGTTTTTTTTTTTTTTTTTTTTTAAATTGTTGCATTTTAAACCGAAAAAAAAGATAAATTTGTTTCACTTTCGAATAAAATTCAATTCGATTAAAAAAATTTAATTTTAAATTAAAGGTTAAATTTTATTTTAAGTTGTGTTAAAAAAATTCTTGTAAGGTTTATTAATGTATTTAGTAATTAAATCATGTAATTTATTACTCTCTGCAAAAAAAAAAAAAAGAAAAAAAAATTAGTATTATTTTATGGGCAAGCTTGTGTCAAACTTGTTTTTTTGGTAGGCAGAAAAAACTTGCAGATATTTTTTTTTTTTAAGAAAAAATTTTTTTGTTTTAGTTTTTAACGAAAAGCTATTATTAATATGTTATATTATAATTATTATTATTATTAATTACATTGATAACATTCTAATTATCGTTTAAATACGAATGGGGAAAAAAAAACGATTGATTGATTGATTATTTAATTTGATTAATAAGATATCAAAATAACGTTCAAAAACAAAAAAAAAAAAAAAAAAATACTTTCGTTGAAAAACGTTTGATTGACCTTTCAACTTTGTTAATTTATGTTTTAATTGAAAAAACAAAACAAAACTTAGTAGCATATCAATTGAATATTATAAATAAATGTTTTGTAATTTAAATTTAAGAAATAATAATAATAATAATAATAAAAATAAAAATCGCGTCGATTACTTCAATGTTTTCAATATAGTCGAGATAAAAGAGTGATTAGAGGATGAATTATTATTATTACTATATATTAATATTATTATTACTATATATTATTATTATTACTACATATTATTATTATTATTATTATTACGTGGAAATTTAAAAAAAAGTGCTTGGCTGGGGCTAAAAGCTGAAAGGGAATGCTTGCAAAAAAAAAAATGGTTCAAAAGATTAATTTGAAATTAGTTATTATTTATTAATCAATAAATATTAGTTATAATAATAATAATAATAATAATAATAATAATAATAATGATAATGATAATTGATAAAATGCCGATAGATAATAAATAAAAATTAATTAATGAAAAACCCCAAAAAAATTTAAGGAAATGAAATTATTATTATTACTATTATGTGATAGAAATTATTTTTTTTTTGTAATGAAATTAATTATATATATATATAGAACAAAATAATAATAATGATAATGATAATAACGAAAAAACAATTTTCAAGTGGGAAAATAGAAAATGGAAAATTAGTTTTAATGTTTTTTGTGCGGATGTAAATTGTATTTATGTAACCGCTCACCCTTTCGCTTTTAACTTGTATATGCCAGTGTCAGAAGAAATTTATTTCGTGTTTACATTGCAAAACAAAAACAAAAAAAAAAAAATGTTTTTCTGCTTTGTTTTTAATCGTTGTTGTTGTTATTGTTATTGTTTTTGTTGTTTTTGTTTTTGTTTATTTAAAAAAAAAAAAAAAAAGAAAAAGAACGATTGTAAATGGAATGAAAGAGAGTCGTATCAACCCTATTGATTACTTTTTTTTTTTTTTTTTTTTTGATTTGGCAAAGGCACTTACATTCATTCATTCATTCATTCATTCATTAATTGAGGGGTAATAAAAAAAAAAAACCGTCTATTTGATATTAATTAACTATCGTCCGATTGACTTTTTCCCTTAACGGAAATACTTTAAAAAAGAAAAGTTTTCAATATCAATAAATTTTTTTTTATTTTTTTAGGTCCGCGTCATACGACGCCCGACAATGCAGATGAAAGAGTTCATCCATCTCAACAACGTCAGCATTTCGGTGGAAGATCTGGAAACGAGAGAAGGAGTTCGAGGGAGGAAAACAACGTTCGAAATCCTCGGGGTGACGACTCAAAGGGAGGAATGAGACCGAGACGGGATAGGCGTCGTCCGAACGACGAAGAAGGCGTCGTCGCAGACAACCACGATGTATCCAGCGTCGATCAGGGTAAGAATCACAAAACGTTATATCATAGGTAGTGGTAGTAGTAGTAGTAGTTGTAGTAGCAGTAGTAGTAGCCCTAGTTAAAGTGGTGGCAGTGTAAACAAAAAGCATGACTATAGCATAATGTTTGTCATCCGGAAAATAATAATTCCACTGCGACGGTTGACCTTTGTACGGTGATGATGACGTGAGAAGAAAAATAATAATAATAATAATAAGGTAACTTTTGTCATATTTTCCTTTTTTTTTTTTTGTAATAAGAAATTATTTTAATAGTTGATAAATTTCGGAGGGAGCATTTGCTTGCCATTAACGAATCGGAAAAAAAAAAAACGCGGGAAACGTCGTTGGGATTGGTTTGTTCCCCCCATCCCTCTCCCCTTTTTGCTTTGGATTTCGCGTGATTGATTGATTGATTGATTGTCAAATCTCCTGTTTTCCTTTCAACGACCATCAACTAACCCAAAATGAAAAAAAAAATTTTACTTTCATGTGGCTTTATTAAAATTTGCAAAAAAAAAAAAAAAAAAAAAAATTAATAATAATTGTCGACTGCTTTTTGTTTTTAAATAACGAAATGGTTTTTGATTTTTTATTGATGATAAAAATTAATATTTAACGATAATTTAATTATTATTATCATTATTAAGAACTCGAGATTTAATTTTTTAAAAATATTTATTTTATTTTTATTTTTTTTTTTTTTTATAGACAAATAAATATTTGGGGGAAAACAAAAAACAGATTTTGAATTTTTTTTTTTTTTTGTTTTTTACTTAAATTTATTTAAAAGGGATGCCAACAAAAGAAAATAAAAAATAAAAAAGTACAGGCAGTAAAAAAAAGAAAAAAAAAAGAAATTAGTTGATTTGATTTACAAATATAGTAGTTGATGGTCTTTGATAATGTTATTACCCTAGAATCGGTATCGAGTGTCGAAGGGGTTCAGAAACGTCGAAGACGTCCTAAAAAAAATCGTCAGCAACACAGTCGAACACCGTCAGAAAGTGGAAATCAACAGGTCGCCGCCGCCGCGACGACGACGACAACCGCTCCTCACTCTTCGACGACCGCGACAAACACCGCGACAACTCCTCCGAGCACCAATTCAAACGCTACCGGTAGTGGTGGTGGTGGTGGTGGTAACGGTACGTACAAGACAACAAAACATGTGTGAGTGTGAGAGAGAGAGAGAGAGACAGAGAGGTTGAAAGTTAAAGTAGAGAAAGAGTAGTTGTTGTTGAGGTAGACTAAAAAAAGGATGTGTGGAAACGGTAGAAAACATGGAGTGGTAGGTTTTGATGTTTTTATGTTCCATCTCTCTTAACCGAACAAAAAGGGGAGGGGAGGGGAGGGAGGGGTAATGATGAAATCCCATTCCCTCTCCCTTCCACCCGTCCCCACAAGAAAAACAGGAAAATTGTAAAAATAATAATGATAAATTTCTCTGTTTGTACGACAGGTGGGCAAATTGTGAATAATCAAACCGGTAAACCGACGACCGGGTTTAATAATAATAATAAAACGGGAACGCCATCGGAGCCGAAAGTTCAGAGAGAGCCAAAATCACGGAGTTCACGACCTCCGCCCTCGAAAAGAGGGGGTGATAATATAAATATACAAGAAACATTAGTCAATGGAACATCAATTTAACAAAATATCAATTGTTTAGTTTGTTTTTAATAACAAAATGAAAAAAATAAAAAGTAAAAAATAAAAATAAAAAATAATTGATTGAAAATGGAAAAAAAAAAGGAAGATAGGAAGTAAAGAAAGGAAGGAAGGAAGAAAGACAGGAAGAAAGGAAGAAAGGGAAGAAGAAAGGAAGGAAAGAAGAAAAACAAAACAAAACAAAAAAGCTTAAAAAAAAAACGGAAAAATAATTTAAAAAAAAAAATTTAAAAAAAAAAAAAAATAAAACAAATAATAATAATAATATAACAGTATGAAAGGAAAATTAAAAAATTGTGAGTTTTTGTACAAAGTATATTTAAAAAAAAAAAAAACTAAAAAAAAACTAAAAAAAAAAAAACTAAAAAAACTAAAAAAAGAAAAAACTAAAAAAAAAAAAAAAGGAAAAAAGAAAAAAAGAAAAAAAAAAAAAAATTTTACGCAAGATGAAGAAAAGCTTGCGTGGGAGAGAGAGAAAGAGAGAGAGAGAAAAAAAAAATTTAAATAAAAAAAAATTATTATTATTATTATTATTATTATTATTATCATTGATTATTATTATT